ACTCCGATGTTACCAGATCCATTCCAAACGATATTCCTTGAATTGCTAAACAATCAGCATGCTCCTCTCCCTATTGTAAGTTCCTCTATAATTTGTGTTAACTGATTTCGAAGAGATTTTGCCTTTCTACTTATAGAAACCATCTCCTATACGGAAAAATCATAATGCGTTATCTGTCGAACGATTCGGAAGTAGAGTGGAGTGCGCGGTAAGTGAAGGAACTTTCATTTTTTTTGTGGGGATTTTGGCTTTCTGGAAGGAAAGTTTCTGACCGAATAAAGTTGAAAAGTAATTCAGTTTTTTGCGAAAGTGGGTCCCAAATTCAATGGGATTGCTCACAGGTATTGTTCGGAATAAGGTGCAGAAACAGTACCGAATTTCTAATGCGAAGAGACCATGCGACTTGTTCCAGACGCTTATTGATGAAAAATCATGATTTACAGTCACTCAGGACGGAAACCAAGTGAGGGTGCGGTTCAGAACAGGAAGCTAGATTGGTATAATGATAGTGACGTTCAGTAAGGCGTTACTTGACGGAAGTGGGGCTATGGTTGTTGACACCGTCGCTACATTTTGGATAGAGCAGTGCTCAGAACAATCGAGCTTCCCACTTCCCCCGATCTTTTGACTGGTACCATATTCGGGGAGGAGGGTGGAAAAGGACCTTTAATTCCGAACTTCTCAAGCGGGAGCCACTGACATCTCCATTTGTCCCTTTTGCGTGCCAGAGTATACGCGTGATTCTTATAGCTCGAGGAGCACTAAGCCACTCATTTTTTCGCGCAGCGCTTCCGCGAAGAAGTTTGAAAAAAAATGGGAATCAAAGAGTAATTGCCAACTTGCATACCATCTCGATGCGCCACGCTTTTCAGTTTGCTATAGGATTGACTGTTTCAACTGGCTGTAGAGGTTTCTGAGTGCCATAGAGAATAGATCCAGTGACCAACCGGTACATCACTTCTGAGTGCCGAAGGTTGGAAAGCTTGGCCTATTTGGTGGTAGTCGACCCAACGAACGAGGAGACTTATGTTACCTCGTCATACTTCTAGCCGCTACGTCATCTCCACCCCTTTGCGTTTCCTTTGATAATGGAATGTGTCCTTTTCCGTTTCTATACCAGATTTTCAGCAGTCCTTGAATAGCATTTAAAGCAAAATATTTCAGATGTGTAAAGCGCCAGTGGAGAGTAAGCGAACAATGCTCGTCGGTCATGCCAAGTCCCATTGCCCTCAAAGACAGGTCCGTACTTTTTGAAAAAAGGGGACAGGGGCTTTCAATGACTGTTAGGTTTATTTTTCTATAATATGAACTAAGGTGCAGCAAACCCGAGCTTTCCTATTAGAAAAATCGTCTCGGAATCCATCGAAAAACTGTTGCCGTTTTCTTGTTTAACCGCGGCATAATTCTACGTAGCCTTTATCACTGCACGAAGAACCAGGCCACGATTTCGATGATTCAAGAGTTACGTTAGCCTGGTTTCGTTGCGAATGAAGGGGCGTGCTTCCAAGCGAGAGGATTTGCGCGCGCAAATGTAATTCTTATAATAGCTTAGGCGACCACAATTGATTCAAAAACGACTGATACGAACAATAAAATAATAGTATACAGCCTTGCTGCTTGCTCGCTCCAACAACACGTAGAGAACGACTTTGATAACGGGCCCAATCCATCCCGCCGGACACGCCTCTTCATGCGTAGCGAACGGACTGTGTAACCTATTACTATGACACTCGACCTTTCTAATTATTCTCCAGTTCTCAGTCAAAATTGTTTGAGGGATTTCTCTGACAGTCTTTTTCTGAATCCTCACTAATTTCATAATTTCAGTGGCAATGCCCCCATTGTGAAACGACGGCCGCCTCCATTCTAAAACTGAAGACTAGCACGTTCAAAAACGCTCACAGAGAGCGACCGCCGAACCCATGATATTAGTGAGTGCACCATTTCTTTAGCCAATTTTGAGATCTGAAATCCATAAGTCGTTATGGAGCAGCTTGATTCCTGTGACTCTTTTCAGCTCAGCCGAATTGGAAAACAAATGGCTCGAACTGTTCCGGCAGTGCTTTCCGCAATTCGCTCAGCAGTGTTACGTCGAAGATTGGAAATTCCGTTCGAAACAACAGCAACATTTGCACAGTATGTCAGTAGACGAATGGAACACACGAGGTAGTCCTACCTGTTCTTCGGGGTAATTTGTTGTAATGGATCCTTGACTCTTAAGCCTTTATATTAGTCTAGTTTGTTAATTTTGTTATGAGCTTATATTTTCAACAAAAACTTCGCGTTCATTCGTGGATCCTTGACGGGCTTTCTACACTTTTTAATAGAGAAGATTGGCGTCTAATTGATAGGGCATGTATACTGTCCCTTGCATTTCAGACGTTTTGCCACAGACCGCCCGCGCTCGATTAACATGGCTCGTCCTCCTGGTGCCAAGTAGTACACCCCAAGCTAGAGACTGTCCCACCTCTTTCGATTCTCACAGTGACCGGAGCCAGCGAGCTACAGGCCGCTCAAGTTCTAGTCCTAAATGCCTGCTCAGTTGGACCGCCTTACTTGCTAGATGCCCTCCGACGAGGCCACTCAGTTGTTCTTAGTTGGGGCGGCGGGCATTAATCGGAATTGCATCTCCTTTTTGCTGACCGCACTCGTGCCCATGGATAATTCTGCTCTCCTTTATTACAGTTTACTCAATGGGGGCATATACATTCAACTCAATCCCATTTCGCGAGGTGAAACGCGTAAAAATCACGAGTGACGCAATTTTCGTGGTGCAAAAGCTCGACGAGGCCAATTACAGCTGCTACCCACAATTGTGCGCTACCGTAACCCAAAATTCGGGCACCGAGTATTTAAAATTTCTTTTTCCTTTCAAGAGTTTTTCCTCTGCGTTTTTGTTGTTTTTTTGTATTCTCTCTTTTTCGCGCACTGGAGATATCAAACTTTGCGAGATGTGATAGAGATTTGTGAGCTAGGGTTTGCACAGAGACCAGGAGGTGTGACTGTGAGGGAGCGATTTTGTTTATGTTGTTCTGGAGGACGCTTCTTGCCTGTTTTCTTCTTTGGGAGATTACTTATCAGCTACTGTTTCATAATTGGAAAGCAGCTATCCATGAGACTTTTATCGCGGGAGCTGTCTTTGAATGCTTCCATAACTGCTTCAGCCACGAATCATGCCAACTGGACAGGTCCTTGCGTAGTGGGGTGATGGTCCGCTGCTGCATCAGCGTGCCACTTCTTCTGATCATACCGTGAAAACGGAAAGGGCTGAAGGTGAATCCCAGGCCGTTATACTCCGCCCGCCGTGAGGCAACCGGTGAGCCCCACACCAACCCTACATACAAACACGGCTACTTGTTGCGCTCTCACTGCGCAACTTTGGTATCAACGGAAAGGGGCTAGGGAGTATTGAAAGTGGGAGAGTATTTTGTACTCTCATACTCGCCAACCCCTGTCTAGCCCCGTCGCCTGGCAAGCGCTGGAAAACGCTGGAGAAACGCCTGGTGAAGCTAGATCAATAGCTATGCTTCCCGTGCCCTCGCTACCAGCGTGCGCTAGCGTGCCGCTAGCGTACGCAGCGCGCTGGTGACGCTGGGAACGCTAGATCGATATCTATCCTTTCCCCGGCACTGCCGCTGGCGTACGCTGGAAGCGCTACGCTGCCGCAAAGTATAAACGCAGCTAACGGATCCATAATAATATTCATCCTGGGAAAGATTCGATTACATTACTCTTAGCGCTTGAGTCTGCGAAATACGGCATTTAGAGGTGGAGCGCAAAACACCTCAACAACCAGTCTATGTGTAAAAGTGAATGGATTCACATCCGTCAGATAAATTTAGCTTCCAAAGAAAGGAACGAGAAGGATGACTGTCCACTGATGGTGACTGAAACAGCCGACTGCAAGCGCGGCGTTCAAAGAAGTAAGCTCAGTGTAAATAATGCCAGTGATTCAGTACTGAAAGTGGCGAACAAACTAAGACGTACAATTCTGATCGATCCGGAAGAGCCACGAAAAGAAGTCGAGGAGAAACAAGAATTTCATCACAACACCTCATCAAACGGACTCCAACATCATTCCATTCCACCACAACCGTATCCTAACAACAGTGCTTCTGTGTAATCCTAAGTTACGAGCAACCAACTGTCCTGAATTGGTCACCACCAAAATTGTGAGACCGACTCATGAGGCAGACTGTGTTCGCGCCAAACCTATCTATGTGCATAAAATGCTTAACTTGTTCGTTTGTGCTGGTCTCTATTTTATTCCTCGACAATCCAGGTTAATGAAGCGTTTCACCTCAACGCAGTGTTACTATCTGTAACTCACCAGGAAAGGATGTTTGGTCGAAGTGGCCATTTGAAATGAGATGTATACCGGCTGATGCGTCTTTGGACACTGATTTCAAATCTGCCTCCAAATCTGCTAAACGATTCTCCGAGCAGAATTATGGAGGCTTGTTGAGCAGACCACTGCTCGAGACCACCAATGCTCAGCAAGTATCTAAATGATGGGTGAGCTCATTGCACACGTGCCTCAATGGCGTAGTGGAGAAGCGAGCGGCCTCATGTGTGCAAGGTCAAGGGTTCGGATCCTTCCGTAATTTGTCGTTTTGCATTTTCTCAAAAATGCTTCCTGCACATCCTAAAAGCACTTTTGCGGGGCTAGGAGACCTGATCTTACCGAAAAATTTTATTTCTGAAGGAATGAGCCATTCTGGAACACTCCTGAAGGATACTCCTGATTGTTGGTTTCGGCGGCATTATTCGTTGCGTTGTGTTGTGTCGCCAAACTGATTCCAAATGGCATGGAAGCCAAAAGTGAATGTCGTGGTTGTGATCAGGACCGTCAGTAACCAACAAGGACTGAAATTCAGCGGAAAAGCTTCATTGCTAATAGTTTTTGGTCGGCGATAGTGCCAGCGGGTTGAAAACTTGTCCCTAGGGCTAATTTGAGCCCCAGAACACGAATATCACACTCGTTCGGCGTAAAAACGCTTGCCAAGGACGTTGCAGGTTCCTGCACACCCTGCCCCTCCAGAATGCGAACAAGATATTTTCACGAAAAATGACTGCAGTGTTGATTTCCAGGGCACCAGAGCACCTCTAATTTCAGATTTCAGCGAATTTGGGCGTTTTGGTACCTCATATACATGCTGGAAATGGGTGTGACCTGGTCAAAATTCCTGCATAACTTTGTCCAGGGAATCGTTTAGCAGATATGGAGGGCAGATTTGTAATCAGCGTCCAAGGGCCCATCGGGCAGTATACAACTCATTTCGAATGGCCACTTCGACCAACCATCCTTTCCTGTCAGAAATTCACCTTTCTGGTACGGATCACTGTATTCATTAGGAAGCAGCTACATTCACTTAGGTGCAGATCCATGGCAACGGCCAATCATTGGGCATACGCCACGTACGCGAATCTCCCCATTATCGCAGAGGCATTAGAAAGTTTAGCGAGTACCGTAAGCTGCAA